ACTGAGCATGGGGCAGGTGATGGCTGCAAGGGTAAAGATACACTTCAAACAGGAGCCTGGGGACTACGAGGCTAAACTGTTGGAATGAAAGGACCAAGACACTGGAGAACATCCCAGGGTCAACTCTAAGGTCTGTGACACCTTGAGCAGCAGCTCTACCTTCACAGCGTGGGACATCCCCAGTCCATGTCCCCGTGGCCATGCACTTGCGGCTCTCCGACCCCATCAGCACAAACCCTGTCTGGCAGGAGAAGGCACACGTGGAGCCGAAGGCAAAATCCCCGTGGAGGTGGGAGCAGTTCAGCTCTCCTCGCTCTGGAGCGCTGAGCACTGGGCAGGTCATGGCTGCAAGGCAATGAAGCACACTTTAAGCAGAAGCTTGGGGACTGGGAGGCTAAACTGTGGGGGCCAAGAGGCTGGGGAACATATAGTGTCACCCTAATGACAGTGACACCCTGAGCTCTTTCAGCAGCTCTACCTTCACAGTGTGGGGCATCCCCAGTCCATGTCCCCATGGCTGTGCACTCGCGGCTCTCCATCCCACTCAGCACAAACCCAGTCTGGCAGGAGAAGGCACACGTGCTGGCAGGAGAAGACACACATGGAGCCGAAGGAAAAGTCGCTGTGGAGGTGGGAGCAGTTCAGCTCTCCTCGCTCTGGAGCGCTGAGCACTGGGCAGGTGATGGCTGCAACGGGAGAGCAGGTCTCAGAGACAGGATCAATGAGGTTAAATCTATGGATTAGGGCTGAATCCCAATCGAACAAACACAAATTTATGGTAACTTGTATTTGATTTACCTTTCTCACCCAGACTATTCTCACTTCTTCACAAACAGTGGTAACATAGTTGGTACAATGATTTTTCTGCCATACAAGTGATTTCCTGGGAGGGGAGTTGCTGCTCCGCCAGAGCCCTCTTTATCCCCTGCACTCTCCCAGGTCACAGCCCCCAGGATGCAGGACCACGCTGCTGCAGTCCCCTTTGCCTCCCTCCTGGAGGGGAGCAGACCTGCCTCCATCCTTGTCCCAGTAGCAGGGGAAGCACCCTCAGATGGCTTTGGGGCTGCAGGACACCAGGATGGGATGACTGTCATGGCTGTGGGGGTTGTGTGCCAGGACCGCACTTCACTGCATGCTGGGGAAGCACCCAGGGTTTGCTGGGGAAGCACCCAGGGTTTGCTGGGGCAGCACCCAATGTTTGCTGGGTCGAGCGTCCCACCAGACCCCACCAGCCATGCACTGCAGCCTCTGCGCTTCCCTCGCCTCCAACCCTCCAGGCAGGAGAAGGCACACGTGGAGGTGAAGGGAACGCATCGTACAGGTGGGAGCAATTGCCCCGGCCCCTTTTGGGGGCAGGCAGCTGGGGGCACGCGATGGCTGTGGGCAGACCCAAGGCAGCAGCCTGGTCCCTCGTGGTGCCTGCAGCACCGTCAGCCTCGCTGCAGCAGCGGCCTCTGCTCCTTTTTGGAGTCAACCCAACTGGCAATGCTTGCTAGAGCAGCTTCGTTATCAGCAAAGGCGACTGACTGACTCATCTGATTCTTTGTAAAAAAGAAAAATCAATCATACATACAGCCAGCAGGAAAAAACACTGAGCTGGGAAAGCAGGACTGGGAACTTAAAAAGCCTGGAGCAGGCAGGCTCAGCCCAGCTGCCTGGGGGGACTTCCACTAAACTGTGAGCCAGCTCCTGACCCTGCCACCCTTGGGGATGCTGGCCACAGGACCATCACATCAGGTCTCTGTGCTTGTTCCCTTAACTGCAGAAAGCTTTGCTGGTCTTGGCTGCCTTGACCAAGCCCTGGGTTGGACCACAGCCCCCCCCCCAGCACAGGTGCCATTGGCAGCACGAACTTCAAGGCAGGTTTCTGGGTTGTTTTTTTCTTTTAAATATATATACAGCAACCCTGCCCACCCCCAGCCCCTCCTGCTGGGTCTCCCAATACAGAGGGTCCCCAGTTGTGTCCCATGTCTGTTCCAGTCCTCGACTCATCCTGTCCTTGTGCAAGACTGCAGATGCACCACGCAGTAGCACAGGGAAGGGGAAGCAGGGCTCTCACACCCCCTAAAAAAAGCCCAGCACCTCTCTGGAGCACCCAGTGCCTGGCTGCAAACCCTGAAGCCAACAACGGGAAGACTTTCCCTTCCCCTGCAGCATAACATACCACAGCTTTCTCTCTTTTGCGGCTTCCTGCCCTGCTCTGTCCCTCCCAGCTCGTATCTAACCTCATCTCACCGCTCCTTGCCCTGCTTGTGGCAGCCCAGCCCTGCCAGGATACACCCTTCCCCACTGCGGGATGGCAGCCCCCTTTCGCTCTTCTCTGAGGACCCCTGAGGTGCTGAGCACCCCCCAAGATGGATCAGGGTGGGCTCAGGGAGGAGCAGAGGGTGCCAGCAGGTGATGGAGGTGCCAAGGTCCTGTCCTGCCCCTGTGCTCGGTGCAGGCAGGGTGTTGATGCCCGGGTGCGAGGAGCAAGAGCATGGGGACAGCCAGGGAGAGCGGGGGGCTTATCCATAGCCACAGCCTCATCGGGAAACAGCTCCCTGCGTGCAGCACCAGGAGCTGCTTCCCCAAGGGCAGGGGCACAGCAAGCCCAGCTCATGGCTTGCCTGAGCGATGTTGGGCATGCAGGGCTGGCCCCCCCCCAAAGCATCAATGCCGCATCCCCAAGACCCCCAGCCCCTGGCAGGCCCTACCTGCACACGTGGGGGTCTCTGCTGACCACTGCCGGGAAGCCAGGCACCGCAGCGTGCCTGCCCCTCGCCGCTGGAACCCCTCCTGGCACCCAAACACGCAGGTGGAGTTGTAGCTGAAGTCTCCATAGGGATGGCTGCAGTTCATCTGTGCTGCCCGGGGCTCCAGCTTGGCACACTGCACAGCTGGGAGAGAGTCGGTCCCGCCAGCCCCGGGGAGCACAGTGAACTCCCCC